CACAGTGAAGCCATCCTTCTTGAACCTGAAGTCACTAAGCAGAGCAAATGAAGCAGGAAGATCTCTGTGAGTTTGACACCATCCTGGGATACACAATGATACCCTACCTCAAAAAAACCAACCAAACAAAAACAAAACGTGTGAGTGTGTGTGTGTGTGTGTGTGTGTGTGTGTGTGTGTGTGTGTGTGTCATAATACTGGCAATGCCCAAAAGTGGTCCAACTTAATCAATTAGTCAGCATAATCTTTAAAGAGAAAATCACAAAAGGACATTTTTTCAAAGCCAGTCTTCCTGACCAGCCTCTTCCCTCTCACTCATTACCTTCACTTTTTGTGCGGGTATCATCCAAAGTAAATCATTCTTGCTTGGATTCTCTAGAGGGAAGAAAAGTACCCTCAACATAAAGGAGTGGCAATATAGTAATTGTAGAAATGAGGAAGGATTTATGAAAACCAGGAATAAATCCAAAGGATATTAGCATCAGGACCAAAGAAAATTGGAAACTTTAACAGTACCCAACACAACTGCAGCAGGAGATGAGGGTGCAGCCAGACATCTGGGCAAGTGGACAATGTCAACCATGAAGATCCAGGACACATGCACAGAAAAACAGTTCCCAAGCCCTGCACCTGGGACCAACGGAAAGTGCTATCTTCAGTTCTTCTGGTGCGAGATGAAGCAAGTACTTGATAGGACAGCCTAAAGAATGGGAACCTCAAAAGACATCCAGCATTAACTTCATGGGCACTCTGAGCTTTCTATGTGGCCAGCTCTCTTTCTGCAAAGATGTTCTAGTATAAACATGTGACCTCTAATATCAGGACTATCATGGAACGTATCTTGTATAGAACATAGAGTACATCTGATAAAATTTGTTAAATAAAAAATAAGAAGACACTATTTTGGATGGAACTCCTGCATTGGATCCCAATAGATCAAACTAAACATCAAACTAAACAGCTTGCATTTGGTTATCTCACTTTGATGAAACCAGGAGCAAGAGATGACAGGCAAATTTCCAAACAGGGAAATTAATGCTAGCAGGGGAATAAAATTCCTTCTACTGTAATACTCAACCCAAAAAAGTGACCTGAAACAACTTCACTTTAACCCATCAGTTTTTTCTGTTTTCTGCCCACTTCCAATAAAAAGAAAGAAACTTTGAAACAACAATCCACTCTCTGCTATTTGTTTCTGTTTTTCTTAGACCTTCTTTGTCTATAAAGCGAAACCTTTCTACCCATTTTATGGAATGATGTATAGTTGAAAAGTCAATTCTGTACAAAACAAGCTCATGTTCTCACAATGTTGAGGAATGAAGTCATGAACCAAAAGGGGGAAGTTAGAGTTTTTATTGGAAATAAGGAGAAAAATAAAAAAGGTTCCTGGTTTCTCCAGAAGAGGAATCTGGAAAGTGGCTTCCAACTCCTGGCAATACTCCTGCCTCAGCCTCCCAAGTCCTGGGATTACAGGTGTGCTCCACCATGCCTGGACCACTCCATGAATTTAAAATGACCAGTTTTAATGTAGGCTCTCTAACCTAATTACTCATAATGTAGAGTTTAAAGGAAACTTTGAAATTAGAGGGGAAATAAAATGATTATTTGGTAATTAAGTCCCTCAAAAGTCAGGAGCTTAGTATGGAGGGGCTACAACTCCCTTTAGTAGGAAGCAGGTTGCATTCCATGTTGCCTGAGGAAATCCATTCAAGGTCTCAAGTCCTAGTTCATTGTCTGTTCTTATTTTAATTCCCATCAATATGGCTTATCACCAAACTCTATCTCAGGTCCTTTCCCTAGTGTTACAGGGTTTGGGGGCACTGGAGGTATTTTCTAGGTTCTTTCTGTCCTGAGCAAAGAATTCTTGAAGACGAGCTCAAATGGTAGCATAGTTTTACTAAAGGTAGGAAAAGAAAAACGTTCTGCAGAGTAAGTGTGGGCCAAGTAAAGGTAGAAAAAGAAATACAACCTATAGCATGATGGTGGGGGTGGGCCACCATGAAAGAGAGAACATAGTGGCCAAAACTCAATGTCACCCACTCCTCAGACTGATGTCAGGTCTCAGCCATCCGATTGAAAACCTCCTTGAGTTCTCTAGAGAAGCCCATGTGTGGGGCTTTGGGAACTGTCCTATGCATATGTTCCAGGATTTTATAATTAACAGGTCATGCCCACTTCCACAGCCAGCTCTGCCATGCTCTATCTCCTGTCCCACTAGCTGGCTGGTGAAATAAACTATTTCTTTCAGTTGTCAATTATAGAATTGAAAAGTAAAGCTAATTAAGATTTTTACATTAAATTTGTTCTTATTCTGTCATCTGACAACCCTCATTTTATAAATGAAGACACCAACTCCCAATAGAATATCCACCAAGAATAAGATTAACTTAACTGAGAACAAAAAAAAATTACATTTATTTGGGGCTAATTGGGGTTGCAATGTGGGAAAATATAGACTGAGCAGTCTTAAAAGTGCGCTGTCACACCTCATAAAATGGAAGCAATTGTTGGTTTTTGTTGTTGTTCTTTTGCTCTTGTTCTATTTGTTTCAGACAGGATCTTGCAATGTAATTCAGGCTGCCCTCGAACTCACTGTGTAGTCCAGGATGGCCTTGAATTCATGGCAACCTCCTGCCTCAGCCTTCAGAATGCTGTGATGACACTAGCCACTATGCCTGGCTATTACTTATAGTTTGAAATCACAAGGGGTTCAAAAATTATTACTCAGGAATTACAACTGGCACTGGCAGAAGTTAAACTGTCTTGTGAGAATGGGGTTATACTCAGTTTCAGTCGCTACGTACCTGGGGGAGAGGGCCTGTCATAAAGAAGATCACCCAAATCTGTAATATTTCAAAGATCAGGCTTCATGAGACGGGGATGTCTGCACTAGTTCAAAGGCTCAGTTTCTGAGAATCTGAGCTCTGGTGATCAATGACCTTCCAAATCTGTTTTAAGTGCCCTAAACCAATGCTACTCCATCTTGATTTCTTTCTTGACAGCAGAAAGTAACTTCCCTGAGCTTCTCTGGTTTGCCAGTCAGAGGTGGAGGAAAGACTGGATCACAGATCTCCCAAGTGCATACAAGCAGAAGAAGAAGCCACATGATACCATGGACAGATCCATGACTGCGTTCAAGCTCCCCTACATGGAGATATCTTTCTGCTGAGGCAAATCCTTCAATTTTTCTCACTCTCAGTTTCCCACCTATAAAAGTGAGCATGTGCTGGCCTGTAGCACACACCTGTAATCCCAGATACTCAGGAGGCTGAGGCAGGAGATTTGCAAGTTGGAGGCCAGTTTGGGCAACTTATAACCTGCCTCAAAAGTAAAACAGAAAAAAATAAAAAATAAAAAGGACTGGTCATGTAGCTCAGTGGTAGAGTTCTTGCCTAGCATACTTGAGGCCCTGGGTTTGACCTTCGGTACCAACAAAGTCATGTAAATGTAGAAAATAGTTTATTTAGTTAACTTTTGCATAAGACAGCTAGTTAGGGGAAAGTCCTGAGATAGAGTTGGATGACCAGCCATTTGATAAGAATTAAGAATAGACAGTGAACTAGAACTTTGGACCAAAAATGAACTTCCTCAGCCAATATGGGACACAGCCCACTCCCTGCTAAAGGAAGGTGCAGCCCCACCCTACTAAGCTCCTGAATTATGAGGAACTGAAATATAATGCTCTTTCTCAGGCAGCAAGCAATGCAGCCCACTCCCTCCTGAAGTGAGGTACAGCCACTCCCTAATAAGTTCCTGAGTTCTGGGGAAATTATAATGCAAATTAACTGTTGTTGTTTTTTCTTTTTCCTAAGATCACAGTTTTCTTTTTTTCTTTCTTTTTTTTTGTACTGGGGATTGAACTCAGGACCTTGCACTTGCGAGGCAGGTGCCAGAACCTCTGAGCTAAATCTCCGGCCCTCCCAGTTGTCTTTAAACCTTACACTTCGAAGAATTCAGATAGGAGCCTGAGTTCCAGTTAGTCACTTTAAATCCACAAAGCCATCTGTGACAGGTGGCCACCAAACAGTTGAGTAGTTCCTGTGTTCTGGATCAAGGAGCCATGCAGCCACCAATTCAAGTCCCTTCCTGGAAATCCAGGAGCAGCACTTCTTATTTCCAATAAAAACTGTCCTAACATCCTATTTTCATTCTTGACTTTATTCATTGACATTTGCAGAGCTATGAGTCAGGTTCACACAGTATCATCAGTACATGAGAAGTTGGGAGTGAATGGGAATAAGAGACACAGGACGTCTGTCCCACAAATGAGGTAATGGGCCAGCTGTGGTAGTGTGTGCCTGTCATCCCAGCACTTGAGAGGCTTAAGAAGCAGGATTGCCAAGACTCTGAGGCCAGGCTTGCTACAGAGTGAGTTCAAAACCAGCCTGAATTTCAACCCTGTCCCAAAAACATAAAAAGAATGAGATGTCCAAAAGGAGGTAGATAGACATATAAAGAGTAACTGATGGATGTTGCCAGCTATTTGTAGAGCTCCAATCTGTGTCCAGGTGACTTGATCTGAGCATTGTGACTGATTCCTCCTACTGCCCAAGAGAAATGTGGGCTGGTGTGAGAGGAAGAATCTGTACCATCCAATTCTGTACATTCCTCTATTGAAATGAAAATAAATATCTAATGCAAGACACATGCAAAATAGGGAGAAAATTAGGTAGTTCTTTCAAGGGCTCTTCCCTCATCCTTCACCAGCTCCTGGTGTAGAA